CTGAGTTTCTTACTCGTATGGTAAGAAGTTTTATGTATATCTATTAACTCTGTTTCGTTAATAAGATATACATTAAATCAAAACTTGTTTATATGCTTATATTTTCATATTCAGGTTTTGATCTTCAACCTCGGCTCATTCTTATGGCTGAGGTTGAAGTCTATTTGGGGGAGCCCGGGCGGGGATCCGCTCTGTTTGCGTCTTGGTATAATTACCGCTGACGTCAAGCCGATCCCTCCCCGCCACTCTGCCGATCCTTTTGTGGGTTTCTCACACATCCCTCCAGGCGAGGCTCGTGAGAGTCTCAACTTGTTGAGCAACCCACAACTCGCGCGGGCTCTTGCCTTCCGCTTTTAGTCTCACACGTACACACAGATCAACACCTCTCTTTATTTCCTTTTGTTTCATTCTGCTTCTTCTATATACATTTCCTTATCTTAATTTCTTCTGTCAATCAGCCACAGGAACTGTTTTGTTCTTTCTTTTTCCTCCTCTGTGCACCTTTTCAAATAACAATCTATCACATCCGACTTCCATCTAATAGCTTCCTTTATCTTCTCCCTGTCCCATCCCATATTGAACCTTAGGGACGCGCCACCTACACGAAATGAATGTCCCGACCAAGCTCCTCTCTTTACTCCGTTCACTCCCCACACCGCCTCCATCATCTTGATAAACCTTAACTTCGTTAGAGTTTGTCTTTCTCCTTCTATGACCGTTGAGAATAAAGTGTCCCCCTTCTTCCTCGTGTAATGTTCTTCTGCTAATAACCTCACCATCGCCGATACCGGATCCAGCACCGAATGTTGTTCGTGGAGCCTGCATCCCCTCATCTCATATTTCATCAGCTCCAATCCATACTTCGTTAGCATCTGTGCTCACCTAATAAATTGTGGCTCTCCAGGCTTTGCAGTCTTCGCCATCCTCAACTTTATCACCGCGATCCTCCCTCTTCTCCCTCTCTCGAAGGACACATCCTCTGCAGTGATTGCTCCTTCCTCCACGCTTTCCCTCAGCAGCTCACCTAGTCTGGCCATACCCCAGAAAGCTACCAGGGCTATCGTCATCGCAAGCTCGTGCTGTGGTGACTTCCCGTGCATCGCTGACACCATTTCAAATAAGTCTTGTACCGTGATTGGCTTTTTCTCTCGTCCCGGGTTCATCCCTTCTTTCAACTCTCTCTTCTCCGCCGCTCTGTCCGTTGCTTTCAGAAGCCAATCCACCATCGTCCTATCCAGATTTGGCTCCGTATGATGTTTTGCCATATGCCAAGCCTTTAAACCAGCTAAATACTTTGCGATCGTCTTGGATTTCAACTCTCTTCCGGGTCCTGACTCCTTTCCCACCTCTGACGGACCTGCCCACACAATAAAACCGTACACTTCGCTTACTTCCATTGGTTCCTCGCTCCTAAATTGTCTTCCCGTGCTCTCAATATACGCCTTGAACTTCTGAACTGCGCTACTATAACCTTTCAACGTTCCCGGCTGCCACGCCCCTTTCACCAAGTGTTCCGTTATCGTCTCCTTCTGTTTTTCGCTTCCCTCTATCTTCACCTTCTTGGCTCCTGAGTTCTTCGTCATTTCTCGCTTCGTATTCGAGGAGGGGGACTAGGTCTGGCGGTAATTCTGGTTTGAGGTAGAAGAAGATCGACTTGTTTCCTCTCTCTCCCCTCAACAATGCATCCGCGTTATTATCTCCTGATGCGACGTGTCTCTCCTCTAGCTCACAGCCTAGGTAAGTCAGACGTTTCTGCAGCTTCTTCCATTCTTCGTTTACCGATCTATCCCGTGACTTCTTGTTTCTGATGACTGCCTCTGTTCCAGTGTTGTCCGTTATTGCTAGGAATCTCCTCCCTTTGGTTTCGAACAACGTCTTTACCATCTCTAGACCGATCCGCACCGCAACAGTCTCTGCCCAGGCTATGCCTCGCTTCACACCACTCTCGTCTCTCTCGTTCCATCCTTCTTTGTATTTCAGTTGCGTCCAAAATCTCCCGACTATCACACCTATACCGTATCCGGTCGATGCGTCTCCGACCCATCCCACGTTCTCAACGCCTCTTTTCGGGATCAGCTTGTGGTTATCAAAACCCTCTAACACTTCCACCCATTCCCTCAGGTCTGTTCTTACCGCCTCCGGTAGCCTCCGAATCGCCAACTTGTTTACCCATGACACTTTTAGACTGTGTAACGACATACAAAAACATCTCACACTACACGAAATATAATATTTTCTGGGCAGAAAATTAAATTATTGATACACAAAAATATTGAGAGGCCAGGAGAAGGGCAAAAAATAAATAAAAATATGCATCTTGTTCCCTGGGGTGAGAGCTTCACTCTCCATATTTTTCCATATTTTTACAGTCCGTATTGATAAGTGTACTAACAATAAACCTTCATAATCATCCAATTACAACCTGTAACAAGCACTGAAATTTGGCTCATTAGTGTTTAGAGAAACTTTTGATTTCTGAAAACACCTATAACTTTGTCAAATCTGCCTCCAAACACTCGTTTTTAAGTGCATTAGAAAGCTGAACTCTTCCTCTCGAACTTTCTTAAGATCAAGAACTATGTAGCTAGTATGACAATCATTCTATGGATCTGTATGTACAAATGTATAAAAAAGATGATATCTTTTTTAGCAGACCAGCATGCTGTGTGGTCCTATTATGAACTATTTGGAGGACAATTCCAGCTTACCAATGCACCCAAAATCAAGCGTTTTGGACCGGAATTGAAAAAGTTATGAGTATTTTCAGAAATCAAAAGTTTCTTTAAACACTGATTAGCCAAATTTCAGTGCTTGTTACAGGTTGTAATTGGATGATTGTGAAGGGTTATTGTTAGTACACTTATCAATATGGACTGTAAAAATATGGAAAATATGCAGAGTGAAGTTCTCAACGCAGGGAACAAGATCCATATTTTTATTCATTTTTTGCTCTCCTCCTGGCCTCTCAATATTTTTGTGTATCAATAATTTAATTTTCTGCCCAGAAAATATTATCTTTCTTGTAGTGTCATGTGTGGCAGCATGTATGTCACATGTACCAGTCTTCCGGTGAGTTTCTCAATTTCTTTGAACGTGTGCGGTTCCTTCTTATCTAACGCATGTTTTACTTGTCCAATTCTCTCTTGCTTTTTCGATTCTGGTAGCCGCACCAACCTTTCTCTCCCGTTCCATATAAAACCAATATATCTCTGCTCCTCGCCAAATTCCGAGTATTTCCCCTTGTTTGTCTTCACACCCAGCTCTGCGCTAGCTTCAACTACCTCCTCCATCGACACCATCTTCCCCTCTTCCTTCAGCCTTACAAACAGGTTGTCATTGACCCATCTGAAGACTTCTACGAAACCGAAACGTGCCTTCATAATCGCCCTCCAGGCGTCTGCTGGTCCTCCGAAGCTCCCACATCCTGCTACACCTCCGAATGTCACCCTCAAGTCTATCAGGATCCACCCGTCTGGTGTGCGTATCATCAAGTACCTCCATTGGTTGGGCATCGTCGGGATCTGGCGGTAAGCCTTTTCCCAGTCGAAAATTCCCAGCTCGACCTCCACCGTAAGTTTGCTGAAGAAGTTTGCTACCTTATTGAAATCATCCCAACTCGTCTCAAAATCTCTTTTGTCTACTAAAGAATTTACTGACACCACCTTCTTGTCTCTTTTCGGGTACGACAGGTCGTTTATCACCCTTGTCGTGCCGTCCCCGTTTGTGACCATCCCCATGGGACTTGTACGGAAGAAACCTATCCTCTTAAAAACCTCCTCCTCTCTGAACGGCCCCCTCATCCTTCCTGCCTTTAACTCCTTCTTCAGCTTCTCCCTGATTTCTTCCGAATCCGCTCTAGACGTCGTGTGATTGGGGGGCGGGTAGTATGCTATGTCTCCGAGATCATGCTCTGAGATACCCTGATGGAACCCTTCCCTGAATCCTTTTACGACATAACCGTGTTCACCCATCAAGCCCCACTTTCTCAACTGCCTTTCCCACTCGACGATGTCCATTTCACATTCCACCCTTTCCGGCCATTCTCTACACACCGGGTAGTCATGCTCCTCCCCCTCTGGCCTACTATGCACATCTACGACATCCTCTTCTTCCGGCTCCACTGTCCCTTCATAATCCAGGTCAAAAGTTTCCAGACCAAACTCGTCTCTCAAACTTCCTTCTCCCACTAATTCTGACTTGTCTACTTCCATCTCCTCCCCTAACTCACTCTCCTTTATCACCGGTTGTCCTCTTGAGCTTGTGGTTGCATCTGTTTTTCTTTGTTCCTCTAGATTCGACGCCTCCTTTCTTTCTGCTCCTCCTTCTCTTCTCAGTTTTCTCTCGTCCGCCTCTCTCTTCGTCTCTCTTTCCTTGTCTCCGGCTCCCGCTCTCGGGAACATTGACCTCAATGATCTCACATTACGCGAACTACATTGGTTGGAACTTAGGGGATTCGCACGAAAGGGGGTTTTTCATTAACAAGGAAAGGTTTGTCATTACACATGGGACATTTTTCGTCTACAACTCCTGTTAACATCCTACTACCATCCCGGACTGACTCACTCTTTTGTTGCTGCCTCCCCAGCTCCGCCTCCACTGCTGCTCTGTCCTCTTCTCATGGCCCACCAGCCTGCGCCTCTGCCTTGTACCCAACCATTTCCTCTCGCTACTCCTCGATTGCCTCGGATGCTCCCTCTTAACAGGCTTCTGCCTCTACCTCGTCCTCCTCCTAGACGTGGGTGTTAACGCAAATGTAGAAACGTAAGTCTCGTATTCTCTCTCCGTTCTTCCGCTTTACTCACCTCTATTAACCGCGCTCGTACCATCAATTCCTGCATACCCTACCCACGAAGTGTTCGCGCTGCCTACTCCTGACCCATAGGTTCTCGCTAGACCTGTAACCGGGTCAATCATTTCTTTTCCTCCTCCCGCTACGTACGGGTTGTCCGTGAAACGTCTCTCTCCTTTCGCTTCCGCATCCTCTTTCGCCTCTCTCAACAGGTCGTCGTGCAGAAACCCTGCGTCTTCCATCACCCTCTTCCCTTTCACTTTCTTCACCTTCATCACAATCAACCTAACCTTCATGTCATATCGCAACGCTACCATCCAGCACTTCGTCAACTTCTTCACCTTTACCACGTTCTCCTTATGTTTTGTGAACATCTTCGCTGCCTTTGGCCGGTCATATTCTTCCTCTAAATACTTGATAAACAAGTCTATGGCGTCTATCCATGATCCGTACGTCATGAGCAATTCCTTGTTCGGTTTCAGGCCTGAGTAGGTGGCTGACGAATCGTCTTCCTGAAGTTCTTTCAGCGTCTTCACCTTTTTCGTACCCGCCGCCCTGTGGTCTCTTTTGATCCACCCCGCATCAAAAACTGTCATCGGCACGTATGCCTTCAGCGTCTTCACTCGGTTCTCGAAATAGGGCGTAAGTGGCATCAAAGTCAAGCCGCTCAGGGGTTTACCGATCCGGTACGTGATTCCCCCTTCCGTCTCTGGATTCTCGTCACCATGTTAGCTTACTTCTTCTCTCTCTCTTATGTACGGCACTGCTCACCATCTCCTTCGTCTCCCCCTTCTCCCTCCTCATCCTCTTCTCCTACTTCTGCCTCTACCTCCTTTCTCTGCTTCGCATCTTTCCTCTGCTCTGGTATCTCTCTATCTCTCCCTCTCCCTCTTTTCTTCTCCTGACCATCATTGTTTTCCTCTTCCAGCTCGTCTACTTCTTCTTCTCCATCATCACCAATGATTAACAACTCGGTCCTTGGTCGCTCGTCTCGCCTCCTCAGCGGTGACCCGGCTCTCTTTGCGTTAGGTCTCTTCGCCCCCTCTGCCTCTTCTCCTCCGTACATCAGGTTGAAACCTTTCAGCATCTCTGCCGCGAACACGTCCTGTTCCGTGTCCAGCGCAAAACCTATCGCCTGCCACCACTTCTCTCTCGGCGTCATCTCTTCATACGGTTCTACATGATTTCCCAAAGTATCACGCCATCAGCTCTGTGTCTCTCCACACGATCTCTCTCTCCAAAAAACTGGTCAGGTATCACCCCCGTTCCACCAGTGCCTCTCTGCTGTCTCCTCTCTCAGAATCTCTTAGGCCTTGCCCCTCTGGATCTGCTATCTCGTACTCCCTCTCTGTACGTCATCTTATCTCTTCCCTCTCCGTACCTCTCTGTACTTTCTCACGACTACCTTCTGCCTCTCCAGGATAATCGGGGATAGGAAATTTGACATGGATGACGAGGAAGGAGGTGTGGGCGCGGATGCCCCCCAAGATGTGGGGTTGGGAAGATATGCCTTCGAGAGTATTGGGCGGGAAGATATGCCTTCGAGAGCGCTGAGCAGGGAGATACACTTTCGAGGATATTGAAAGGTGTGTGCTCAGAGGAGATCTATACTTGTGGTGGGGTAAAATTAGCTAAAGTACTCACTCTCTCCTTCCGCTCCCAAGCCACCTTCTCTGTTGTCGTCTCCTTCATCTTCCCTCTCTTCTCCTTCCTCACTTCTGTCCGGGGGTACGTCTCTTCCAGGTTGTCCTACTGATGGCGGTGAAGCTGGTTCCCTGTCTACGTCTTCTCCTTCTGGTCGTTCCGTGCCACCGGTTCCTGTTGTTCCGTTGCTCGTACTTGGTCCTCCTTCTCCTACCACCCCCGTCCTGTTCCTTGACTGGCTTCTCGTTGTTGCACTCGATACTTCACCTTGACTCTTTTTCTTCATTAAGACTCCTGCTGCTTCTAGTTTTTCTTTTGTGGTCTGTATGTCTTCTGCAAGCTTTGGCATCTGTGTGCGCTATGAGATAAATTAAAAGAAAATAGTTTTTGAAGATCCTCGACCCTGAGAATCGGATTTGAATCTTTGTGTCTTTAGCCTAAGTGAGGTATCGTGAGAATTTGAGGTTGTGTGGTACAACTCGAAATTCTCCTCCCGCAAAACTCTGACTTTGAGTTATGGGTTTATACCTCCCTTGTCTAAAACTCGATCATGGAATTTTATCCTAAGTCGTGCCTTAGTTAAGATTCACAAAGAAAGGAACAGAATGTGTACAAAGTTTGAATGAAAGAGAGAAGAATCAATTGCATTTTTTCTTACATCAACAAAACAAAACAAAAAAGAGAAAAACAAGGATTAATATTGTAACATTAATTTTTCTAAATCTTCTGGTCCTACATGATCTCTTGTATTTTGCATCCTATTTTTTCAAATTTTCAAACAAAAAATATCAATTAGACCAAAAATATGATGAACTGGAAATGAAAGAAAGGTAGAAAAGAAGGGCAACTTACCTGTGTGCAAATTTACATTCATTATCTTAACCAAAATAATTTAAAGGGAAAAAACCAAAAAAAAGATTAAAAATCAGGTTTGATTTCTACATTTTTGGGGTTTCCTCCATTATATTCAGTAGTAAAGAGGATTATTAGGATTTAAAACACTGACCTTTGAAAATAAATTCACCACCTATTTGGGAAATCTTGCCACCTTGTAAAAAGGATTTAATCCCCATTTTCCAACCATTCTAAACAAAACCCATAAATAAACCCGAAAAAGAAAACAAAAACAGTTAAATCGAAGTTTTCGTGAAGAAAGGAAAAGCAAAAGGTTGGTTTATAAAGTTGAGAGTTATAAAAAGCTTACTGATATACTATTTAGGAGAGTTGTAAGTAATCCTTGAGTATAATGATCATGAAGTTGTTCAAAACCTGGAGATACATTACAACTGTTTTTCAACAATGATGGATTTAGAATCAATTTTTCTTCATGGAGCGTATGAGAGTTGAAGATCAAGAAGTTCACTTACATCATACCTAATTGATCAAACAATTGACGAGTATCATCTGAATAAATTTCAAATGGATAATCCAACAATTCTGAAAAAAAAAACAATTTTTCTTTGAACATTTTTTTGATCGTTTCTTAACATGATCTGTTTGATAAAACTTACCTTTGTATGGTTTTATGACTGACCAATGTCCACATCCTATGACAATTATTTCTCGATCTCCTAATTTTTCTTTACTCATTCTATCTTTAGTTGCAATAAGATAATCTTGACAAAAACCGCAATTAAAGTGTCTATGTATTCAAAAAACAAAACAAGAACAAATAATCAGTCAATCAATCAATATAGAAAGTTATCAGATCTTTTGGTTTATAAAATAATTTAAGATTGTTTAGTTTTACCTTATGAATATCACAATCTTAGTTCCATGTCTGATTAATTCTCCAAATGGTCTTTCAGATCCTTCCGAATCGAGTACTCCAATCGTACTAACTTTTTCTATTTGATTTGAACCAATTAATTGATCTGAATCTGCTACCTTAATTTCGCTCATCTTGGTATTCGATGTATTCTTCTTGACTATCTTTTTTTAATATTCGTGAATCTCTTCCTCTGTATGCGGGCTTTAGAACGATTGATTTAGTTTTGATTCAAGTTCGATTTGATTGAATTTCTTTTCTTGATAGTTTTCCGGATAGTTCTGGAAACCTGTTCACGACTTTTTTTGCGCGAACCGTAGGGAATTACATGTAGCGCCAAAATGAACGCTTGGGACAAGTTCCGCTGTGAGTGCGTAATCAGAGTGACGTGATATTGTGCCGCGTTGGTTCATTTTGCGCAGATGACATGAGCGGATAAACTTACGCACGGTGACCCCCCCCAGCTTTTTTGGGGCCACTTGTGACTTTGCCCCCAAGAGGGACCAAGCTTAACGCATTTATTGCAAAAATGGCTAATCGTGCTTCCCAAGCCCAAAGACGTTGAAGGCATATACCACCGCCTCCGATATTACCCAGAAATCAAGCTGAAAAACATTCAATTCAAATAGACTTTACTCAAGAAGAGAAATATGACACATTGGAACCTTTTGAGAATCCACTACCCCCAATTCCACCTGAAGATCAAGCCGAGATACACTGGTTTCAGATACAGCATACTCATGAAAATGAAGACAATGGATTACAACCTTCTATGAATGAGTAAGATGAGTGTTCGGTTCCCTTGGTTTTCAATTTCTGATTCAATTTCCAACTTTGATTTTTTGTTCGCTTTCTGTTTTGTACAGCATATGTTTGTGTATGTATAGAGGAGCAGTTGAGGAAATAGAACTTCCTATCCCTCATCCGTGTCTCACTTCACATCTGTCATCCAATTGTATTGTAAGAATATCTACACAAGGTTATCATCAACTTCCCAATTGACCTTTGTAACCCCTGGTCAATTTTCAATTTTATTCCAGGAAAAACAAACCAAGAAATACAGATCACTTGAGTTAGGTTTTTTTGCCTTGAATGTGATTCACACATGATTTATGATGACAACCAAAAAAAAAGAAACAGAATATGTACAAAGACTTAGATCAAAAAAAAATCAATTGCATTTTCTTGCAGCAACAAAACAGAAAAAGAAAAAACCAGGATCAAAATTGGAAGATTAATTTCTCTAAATCTTCTGGTTCTACATGATCTCTTGTATTTTGCATCCTGTTTTTCCAAATGTTCAAAACCAAAAAGAAAATCAATTAGAACAACAAAAATATAATGAGCTGGAAATGAAAGAAAGGTAGAAAAAAGGGCAACTTACCTGTGTGCAAATTTACATTCATTATCTTAATCAAAAAAATGAAAGAAGGAAAAAAATAAAAGAAGATTAAAAATCAGTTTTGATTTCTCCATTTTTGGGTTTTTTCCATTATATTTAGTCTTAGAGAGGGTTATTAGGATTGAAAATTCTTACCTGTGAAAATAAATTCACCACCTAATTGAGAAATCTTACCACTTTGGACAAAAGTTTTAATCCCCATTTTCCAACCATTCTAAACAAAACCCATCAATAAACCCAAAAAAAGAAGAAAAGTTAAATCAAAGGTTTCGTGAAGAAAAGAAAAACAAAAGGATCGTTTAGAAAGTTGAGAATTATGAAAAGCTTACTGCTATACTGTTTAGCACAGTTGGAAGTACTCCATGAGTATAATGGCCATGAAGTTTTTCATCACCTGCAGATAAACTACAACTGTTTTTTGAAAATGATGGATTTAGAGCCCGCTTTTGTTATGGAGCATATGAGAGTTGAAGATCAAGAAATTCACTTACATCATACCTAATTCATCAAATAATTGACGAGTATTATCTGAATATATTTCAAATGGATAATCCAACAATTCTAAAAAAGAACAATACAAATTAATTTTTCTGTGAAGTCTTTTTGATTGTTTCTCAAGAGGATCTGTTCGATAAAACTTACCTTTGTAAGGTTTTATAACCGACCAATGGCCACATCCTATGACGATGATGTCTCGATCTCCCAATTTTTCTTTACTGATCCTATCTTTAATTGCGATAAGATAATCTTGACAAAACCCACAATTGAAATGTCTGTATATTCAAAAAACAAAATAAGCACAAAGGAATCGGTCAATCAATCAATTATTATACTTTTTGGTTTATAAAATAATTCAAGGTTTTCTATCTTACCTTATGAAGATTACGAGTTTAGTTCCATGTCTAATTAATCCTCCAAATGGTCTTTCAGATCCTTCTGAATCAAACACTCCAATCGTACTAACTTTTTCTATTTGATTTGAGTCGACTAACTGATCTGGATCTGCTACTTTTACTTCGCTCATTCTGCTATCCGATGTATTCTTCTTGACCATTTTTTTTAATCCTCGTGAATGTCGTTGTTTGTATGCGGGCTTTGTTTTTTTGGGGACAAAACTCTTAATTTTTAGTTTTGATTTCAGTTTGATTGGATTGGATTGGGTTTCTCAGATCGGGGTTTCTTTTATTTCATTTTGATCGTTGGGCGATCTTCATGGTTTTCCTTTGCATTTGCCGTAGTTCAACTTATCTCGATCACACTTCACTCTCAAGACAAGTTACAGCGAAAAGTTTCGAATGTTTGAACAGAGTCCAGACCGATCATACCACTTCTCCTTGATACGCAAAGTTACTGAACCGATCACCAAGTCGGATTCGGCATTCCTCGATGAAATCCATTTTCATGAATTCGTGACTCCGATATGATATGATGTAATGAGAAGTCAACCTCAGATCCGACCCCGGGATCCGACGGGGGATCCGACGGGTCCGGGGGTCGTTCTGACCCATGGAGACCCCCGATGCTCGGGGAATCCGGCCGGCTCGGGGGTCGGATGTAGTTAGGCGAAAGTAATGGTATTGTCGGATATCCGACAGACAACAGGCTCATGTTTGCATTTCAAAGACTTCAGAGAATACATAAAAAAATAAAGAAAAGATAAAAAAAAATGAGAAATATAGCTAGTCAATTATGACAGTAGCAGGGCTCCCAACACGATCTTCCATATACAAAGGACCGAAGACTCTGTACCAATCTTTGACACATAAGGCCCCCTCAACATGTCGAGGTGCAAGACTAACTCGCTGGGGTGCCAAAATCCTTTTAGCCTTAGTAAACACCCCCTCCGAAGGACAGCTAGTCGCCGGGATTGCCAAAAAGCTCATAGCCATGTTGGCCAAAGCAGGATATATGCTGACACGCTCTTTCCAAAAATCTAACACCACCTTGTTGCACCTTTCGAGCTTTTCGCCAAGGTATTGGTGGAGCTCGCTTTCAACTGATTGTTCCGCAAGAAGGTCTCGGTTGCCGAAGATGGCGTCCTCAAAGTATTGAGAAGTTGACGTGTTTGACTTTTCTTTTCTGGTGATAGTTGGAGCGGGGGTTCGGGAATCAATTTCGAATTTCCTGGCCTCCTGTTCAAACATCAATCTAATGCTTGAAGGGTAGATGTCGTAGTCGGCGAAGATCATTGCATTTTGCTATTGTTTGAAAGAAGAGCAAAGGATGATCAGTACAGGTTTGTAGATTAGGAATTGAAATATACAAACTTACTTCAAAATATGACAGCTTGTGGCGCGGATCCAGAATAGTGGCACAGATCGGTGCTGGTTTTGCAAGAACTTTCTTGAAGTAATCTTCAAGTTTCTTAATCATAACCTTTGATGCAGGAATAAGCTGATCATGATCGTATTGCTGAACCACCTATTATCAAATTCACGTTAGTAAAGATCAATCATAGTATTGATTTTAAGAAATAGAATTTGTATCTTACCGATTTCAAACCTTGTATGACTACTACATAGATTGGCACAACTTGGTGCATTGTTGGATACTTCGATTTGCAAAGAATGTCAGTTGCTTCGCTGAGTGGCTCCAGAAATTCGCACATTTGCTTCACATAGTCCCACTCAAGAGGCAAGAGTGCGTATTTCTTGAAGTCTTGAGCACTGCAGAAATCATCACATGCCTTCTGTAGAAGAAGCAGTCGGCGAAACATATGATATGAGGAGTTCCAACGTGTTGGGACATCAGCTACAAGTCAAGTTGCAGTGCTATGAGACTTGGGTGGTGGCATATCTTCATTGATGGTTTGATCAACCATTAAATAATTGACAGCATCGGAAGTTGAAGGTTGATCGTCATTTGAATTGGAAGTAACCTGAGTTTGAGTATGAGCTGGGTTCAAAGAGTTAGCGAGTTGTTGCCTCGCTTGGACGATGGCGGCAAAAGATTGGCCACGCTGAGGGCTGGACCAAGTGCATTTAACTAGACCATGGCATCGGTGATAGATGGTTTTAAGATTCACTTGATTCACGTCCGGGGGGTCAATCAGATTATGTATGTTTGAAGTGAGTAGAGCATTGTCGTCTTCGAGGACTTCGCCAAAAACTTTGAGGCCTTCTTTAGCCGCGAGATTGATTACATGGGCCACACACCCATGTACTTGAGTGGTGTGATCAAAGGCCATGTCTTCTGACATTGAGATGACTCGACCTATGGCCGCATTTGTACTGACGTTATCTGCCGTCATCGCACACAACTTCTTGTTGAGATCGAACGTTAAATACTTAAGTATAATCGATCCAATGTTGTTTGCATCGTGAGCACCTAGATGATATTCATCGATGTCAAGGATCAATATATTACTTTTTGAACTTTTAAAGTAAGAACACTCACCTTGGATTTCCGCGATTCCAAGTGTGACATCCACAAGCTCCCATTCTTTTGTAGTAAAGTGACCGGTAAGTGACATAAACGCGGCGTTGTTTGGAGACGTCCATGCGTCTTGAGTAATTGCAATCGCTTTACAAGGACCTAAGTAATGCTTCTTGACATAATCTTCGTAATGATAATAAGTTTGACGCATATGTTGAGCAATAGCATCCCGTTTCACGAGCATTCCCTCGACTTTGGGATTTAATAACTTGAGGAGGTCTCGGAAAGATTGCCTTTCCATGATCGAGAAGGGAAGGTCGCATTCGGCGATGAAGTGAGTCAAAGCACTCTTAAGATTGTGAGTATTGAGTCCGTTCTAAAAAATTAATATCATGTAAAAGGTCTTCATGAGCAATCTCAAGTCTTGGATTGTAGGGCACAAGTAAAAGGTAACACTTACTGGGTGAGTTGTTTTAATCTTCTTGAAAGCTTGAAGGATGTTAGACTGGTTTGAAAAACTGCCTTCTCGAACGCCATGCTGAGTCTCGAGGTGGTTGCTCATCGACTTCGTACTGGATTTCTTATTGCGAGATAGTTCTTTCCCACATGGTTGTCCGTTTGTCATTATATAATGACACTTGTTTATCGGTTTGTTTGGCACCTTCTTGAAGTAAGTGCACACGTGGCTAGGTTGGCGAATGGTCGTCTTTGAAGAATCAGTGAGATCTGATTCATTCACTTGATAAGCTGGATCGGAGTCAGTTGCTCCAGAAACGCTACTTGACCTCGTGGCTTGAGACATGCTGTGTAAGACTAAGTTTAATATATGTGGTGGATCGTAATGATATATTATATATAAAAAGATGGTATTGGAGCGGTGATGTAGGGAAATAAGGGTTTGAATTGATATCTGGAACTATGAATGTGAATCTCAACAAAGAAATTAAAAATAACGAAAAAAAAAAGGAAAAATTCTAGAACTTTCAAGCCAAAGCGCCAGATTTTCAAAAACATGCCGGATGTCCGGCATCCGCCGGTTCGGATGTCGGACACAAGGATTCTTGAAGAAAATCCGATTGGATTTTTCCCTGAGGGCCGGATAAACATTTTTACCCGGCGGTCCGGGGTCGGGCAAGCCAGAAGTCACCGGATAGCGACCGGATCTCAGGTTGAATGAGAAGTGATCACCTTGATTGATTCATTTATCAATAAGGTTTAATTTAACTCAGGGCCCGGGGTTAAGCTTTTGATCATACATATTTCTCAAGACTCGACATGTACAGTCGGGTTCGGATAGTTTACATAACAAGCCCCGCTAGTTGTGTCTATGTGTGAAGGTATATCACCTTTACCATCGAAATTCCTGGAACAACTTTCGATCATCGTTTCTCAAAAAATGAAAACAAGGTGCTTAGAACCTGTTGAGCGTGCTCGTATCATTGGAATGCACGAGGCTGGTCTTTCAGGTACCAAGATATCCAAAAAGCTTCACCATCCTAGACCAACCGTTTATACAGTAATTTCAAAGTTCAAGAGAACAAATACTTTATCATCATCAAAAGCCTCCGGAAGACCCAAAAAACTCACAGATCGAGATTGAAGGAGCCTTGTGAGGCAAGCGAAGAAGGACAGAAGAGCTCCACTGGCCAACATCGCTTTGAATTTGCCTACTCAAGTCGGTTGCACTACGGTGCTCTCAGAGCTCCACAAACTTGGTTTTCATTCATGTGTAGCTGTAGCAAAACCTTACCTGACACCTTCTCATATTACTAAGCGACTCGAATTTGCAAAAAAACACAAGAACTGGACTGTAGATGATTGGAAGAAAGTGATATGGACGGATGAATCTAGTTTTGAAATTGGGAAGAATTCTCGTCAGGTTCAGGTGTGGCGTAAGGCTAATGAAAAATACAATGACAATTGTTTAACCCCAACTTTCAAAAGCGGATGCAGTTCAACAATGATCTGGGGTGCCTTCACTGCAAATTCTCGGCTTGATATGATCTTCATGGAACCCGGAAAGCAAACAGGATATGACTTTGTTAAACAAGTATATGAGGGTAGTTTAGGTCCCTTTCTCAACTCTCCCACCACTCCCTCGGGTTTAATCTTGATGGAGGATGGGGCACCTGTTCACCGATGTAAAGTTGCTCAGTCTTGGAGAGATATGCATCCCATCTCGAAGTTAGAATGGCCAGCCAACAGCCCTGATCTCAACCCAATTGAAAATATCTGGCGAGACATGAAAATGGCCGTCTCAACAAAACATCAGCCTCGGATGGTGTCTGAAATGAAGACTGTATTAAATCTTGAATGGAACTTGATTCCAGATAGCAAGCTGGAATCTCTCGTGGAATCCATGCCAGCCCGGATGCAAGCTGTGATTGAAGCAAAGGGAGGGCATACAAAATGGTGAATATAGTGTTTTAGGGCCTTCTTTGTTGAGTCATTGAACTCAGAATTTATTGTTAGTTAGAGAAGCATGTCAGCTTTCATAATATACAATTTTATAAGTCTTTGTGATCAGCCAGTTTTTATATATCTTTGAATTGCATCTTGTGCTCAGTGGTTAAATCGGGTCGTTATGTAAACTATCCAAACCCGACTGTACACCACAAAGACACTTTTGCGCAGAATGATGTCCAAGCCGTCCGAGACCCGATGCTCAACTCTGCGTCCCCAATCAGGGTGTCTTTTGGGCGTCCTTGAGTGCCGACGTCTTTGGCACACTCCCAGGATGTCATGATGGCTTTCAGATCTTGGATGCTTGAGAATCTCCCCAGCTCGCAGCCTGACCTGGACTCCCCTATTGAGGCTGTCTTTGGACTGAAGCCTGGATGTCTTCACAGGACCTGAGATCATGTCATCTGGTAGGTTCCTTCAGGTGTGCATCAGGTTGTCTGCAACCTTCAACTTGGCCAGGATGTCCGTAATGTCCGTGTGCTGACCACTCATGAAAGGAACCTAAAGGAACCTTCTAGAAAAAAGTGAAATTCAAAAGCAAAGGGAGAAATTGGAGGGCCAAATGGGAAACAACTTCACAAAACAAATCCACTTTGAAATCTTCATCACAAGGTTCAGACCTGCCTTTCACCTATCATCAATCCTCATCATCACTACTTTTGAATCAAACTCAACTTTTCACCCTCCTTGTTTCAACACTAACACCCCTTCCCTAAACTGCCATTCTCAACACCCCAATCCCATCATCCATCTTCTTGAATCAATCTCTTCCTCAGACTAGACCATCATTAGACTATGTTCTTCAGAGGGCTTCGTCTCCAGATTCTTGATATCCACATCAATTGTCTTCATCTTGACCGAGTCAACAGTACATAGCGGTGACTGTAACTACCTTGATGTGAGTCGTGTCAATTGCAAGCACAGTCTGTATCTTTATCTTTATTGGATGTGACCTTTCTTTTCTCAGTTATCCTCAAGCTCGTGAAAGAAGATCCAGAGACCGGCAAGAATTCCATGAGAAGTTGAGTCTGATCATGACCAAGCGAGAACCTTTCCCATTAACTGAGCTATGTAGGAAGAACAATTGTTTTGGTCTCTTCATCCTACAATCACATTGACTGTGTTTCATCTCTCGCATTGGCAATACATACAATCATTTGAGTTTTGGATATCTACAAGTCTCATACCTCATATACACAAGGTTAGTAACGGATTCTACAAAGTATGTCGTTGTGAGTATGATTTGCAGCTGACCTCTCTTTTTGATTTGTAGACTGGCTTTCAAAAACATTAGGAGTTTGGTGTTGGATCAAATGAAATGAATAAAGAAGATTCAAGGGGTGAAACAGATTGGTACGGCTGGCAGTGCTAAAGAGCAGACCAATGGACCAATATTTCATGAAAATTTTAGTCTGATCATCACCAAGCAAGAACCTTGCCCATTTGCTGACACTGCACCGATGTAGTATTTTTTGGCTATGCAAAATCATTAGAATTAATGTCAAAAATGATTAAAAATGCTATGTTAATGCATAAAAATGCACCATTAATGCACCATTGATGAAAAAAATGCAGCATCAATGCAGAAAAATGCAGTTATAATGCATATGCAGAATGAATGCAGAATTCCACCTTTTTCAATTTTGTTTGTCCTTCAGGTCAATCATTTTTCACTTGGGAAAAATACTACATTTTCCCAGTGTGAGTTAGTCTGAAAAATTGTGTAGTTTTGCTCATTTGAACAAATTCCCTTGCATGAGTTTTTTTGTAGTCTTTGATCTTGTCATTTCTTTACAGATGAATCCAATATGACCGAGTCTTATATCTTTGTATCACTGCACTTTATTGAAATGTATCAACCATGTCAAAAACATCCTCTGAGTGTTGGAAGGGTTTGCCATGGATGTTGCTAAATTACTTAAAAAACAAACTCCAAGGACAGCCGGTGGTCATCAAGGAAGACATCCTCATGACAAAAGCAGAGTCCCTCAACAGTTCAGTTAGAACCAGAGCTCTCAGCACAGCCCGTACAGGCGCCCTGCCAATACCCTATGTAGAATAAATACAACCACTTTTGGAAGCCTGTGGGGCGTCACGAAATCCAGTTTGGGTCTGGGCTCCTTGGATCAGTCTTGTCAGGATGTCCGTCCCCCTGCGACAAAAACCGGTCGTCCCTGAGACATCCGTGTGTCCTTGTGGTGTACATAGCGTTGTTTCAAGTCAGCCTGAGCCCCAACCCAAAAAGCGCGGGTAATGGCCTGCCTGCCCCCCAAACCAATACTCAATAAGCCCCCCCGCGCCTGAACCCTACCCCGAACCGTTCAAAACCCTGCTCTCAGAGGCCCCCCAACCCCTATCCCAAATGCCAAAACCCGCGGGGAGCCGCTGGTCCCCACGGATAAGAACGGGGGTTTTAGCACTATTTCCCCCCGCCCCCAAACCCTAAGGGGCCCCAAAAAGCCTGACCAAACCCGCACCCCAAGGGTTTGGGGCTCGGGAAACCCTTGGGGTGTTGATTCCGGGGCTCAGGCTGAGTTTCAAGTCTTTGCTCAAGCCTTGGGCGGTTGGTGAGGGACTTGGCTAAGTTTGGTTTCAAGTTCAAAAATTTTATGTATTCTTGCGCTACAACAACTTGCCCATTGTTGTAAAACATGAGTAATTCTTTGACAGTGGGACACCTTTTTAGGTGTCCCAAACTAATAATAAATTGATTTTATGTAGACTTTTTTTATGATAAACTTGCCCAAATTTTCAAAAATTACGCAAAAAATATTTCAAATTGAAACCCCCTATTAGTTGGGGCCGGCAGAGTAGATGTGGTGTATCTTTTGCAGATGCACTTGTACAACACCTCTGGTCGTGACTTGTTGAAACCCGATCATGTACAAGTGCTTCCAGAAAAGATACAGCACATTTACTCAGCAAGCACTTGTAGTACACCACAAGCCGCTTTTGAATAGAAATTTGGTCAGCGCAAGTGGTTGCCGGTGGGACCCCAGAATGTGCCTACTAAAGGTAGTCTAGTAGAAATATACGTTCTGAGCTCCCGCGGAGTTACCCTTGATGGGATTATACCTAGCTCTGAGTAACAATGCACATTTTTGACTTTGGTTATTGCCAACCATGCAAGCATTTGTCAGGTACTTGTTCATGATGACATTAAGGCTGAAACTTGAAGTGAAATGCTGAGGTATATGGAGCCATAAAGGACACACTGATGTCCTGGGGACAACCCAGTTTTTTTCAGGGGAAGGGATATCCTGACAAAACTGATCCAAGGGGCCTGAGTCAGAATCAAAATTTGCAACATCCCACAGGCTTCCAACGGTGTTCCTATTTAACTGTAGGCCCAGCCAGGCATCGTGAGTGTGTGCCGTCTGTGCCGCGGACATCCGCGTGCACTGACATCCAGGGGACAGCCCAAACGGGGGTGCGGACCCAAGCATACAATCTTGGATGATCCTGACGTCCTTCTGCTCAAAAGAGCCTTTGTGGTGTAGGTTGAAGAAAGAAATCATTTGTAAGAAACATTCATCTGTGTAATTCCAGAG